TGAAGGGCTGTCCTATGCACTGTAGGATATTTAGTGGCATTTCTGAGCTCTACCCACTAGATACCAGTAATATGCCCCCTTTTGTCATGACCATAAGAAATGTCCCCAGACACTGCCAAATGTCCCCGTGAGAACCACTGCTCTAGACATTACTACAGGTAAGATCCCTTCATATGAAATGGGGAAGCCCTCAGGTTATCCCATCAAAATGTGATTGTTTTAATGAATAGTTTGCTAGCAAATCTCATTTGTAGTCAACAAGCTCCAGAGAAAAGACAGAGCCACTCTATAGTGAGCACCAGGTCCAATCAGGACTCAGGCCCACTCATTAGATGCCATTTATTTATCATGTTCTGTCTACTTCCAGGGGCCTGACTCACTTCTTCCTCAGAACAACTGCCCCACTTTGTGTGTTTCCCATGAGTCTGGGCTGTACGGAGGGCCCATCAGAGCCCTCCCCACATCATCTTCTTCTTTTTTAAAAAAAAATATATTTTTTTTTATTTCAGAGAGGAAGGGAGAGGGAAAGAGAGATAGAAACATCAATGATGAGAGAATTATTGATCGGCTGCCTCCTGCACTCCCCCTACTGGGGACCAAGCCCACACCCGGCATGTGCCCTTGACCGGAATCAAATCCAGGACCAACCCGTCAGTTCGAAGGCCAACGCTCTATCCACTGAGCCAAACCAGCTAGGGCCCCGCATTGTCTTCCGAGTGCGCTTTTCTTTCTGCCCCAGTGGACTTTAAGGCCCATGACAGCAAAACAATAACCATCTTGTTCATCATTAAACTCCCAGCATCTAGGTGGCGCGTGGGAGGTATCCAATAAACATTTGTTGAATGAATATGTAATAGAAATTATAATACATTAGCTGTGGGTCAAAGGTGCAGAATTTAGCTACAGCTCACATAGTTTACAATAATCATTACTTCTGTTTATTAGGAGCCCACCACGAGGCAGGAACTTTGTGTTATCTTGCTAATAGCAAAGCAACCTTATGAGATAGCTATTATTAACCCCATTTGAAAGATGAGGAAACTGAAGCTCAGAGAGAGTTCATGACCCAGATTTGGATCTAGGCTCATGTAATTGCCAGTCCTAGTCCTCTCTGATAGGTTCTAGACATCCCTTATTTAGTCGGAAACCTGTGTGTTAGTTCTTTCTGTGTATAGAATGAGTGGTTTCGTGAATAGGGACCAGAAAAATGACTTTATCATTGTGTACAACTTAGATCTGTCCACCTCCACCTCTTTGAGATAACGGCAGGGATGTAGAAGTAATCTTTTTTTTAAAAAATGTATTTTATTGAATTTTTACAGAGAGGAAGGGAGAGGGATAGAGAGTTAGAAACATTGATCAGCTGCCTCCTGCATGCCCCCTACTGGGGGTGTGCCCACACCCAGGTACATGCCCTTGACTGGAATCAAACCTGGGACCCTTCAGTCCGCAGGCCGAAGCTCTATCCACTGAGCCAAACCGGTTAGGGCGGAAGTAATCTTGTTACACAAAATCGTCTTAGTCCATTCGGGCTGCTATCACAAAAATACCAACATTAAACAGCATTTACTTCTCACGCTTCTGGAGGCCAGGATGTCCAGATCAAGGCACTGGCAGATTCAGTGTCTGGTTTTAGCTCAGTCTTGGTTCATAGATGCTGTCCTTGTATGACATTAGGGGCAAGGGAGCTCTCTGAGGTCTCTTTTATAAGGGTACTCATCCCATTCATGAGAGCTCCATTCTCATGACCTAAGCACTTCCCAAAGGTCCCACCTCCAAATACCAGCACACTGGGAATTAGGTCTAACATAGGAATTGTGAAGGAACACAAACATTCCCTTTAATAGCAACTATCTTGTCTAGAGTGACAAGATTTCACATGAGGCCCATGGTCAGAGAAACTGTTTTAATCCTGAATCTGGGGAGTGGGTGCATACATATATAGGAAAAGGTACCAGGCAGGATAAAATTTAAGATCTTGCCATTGGCCCTGGCCAGGTTGCTCAGTTGGATAGAGTGAGCGTCATCTCGATATGCCAAGATGTGCCCCTACATCAGGGCACATACAAGAATCAAACTATGAATGCATAAAGAAGTGGAACAACAAATCTCTCTCTTCCTTCCCCTCTCTAAAAATCAATTTTAAAAACTTATCATTATATAAATTAATTTCCTTTGTTTTTTAATATTAAAGTTTTTTATTTCCTCTCATCAGTTTCCTTTGTGAAATAGTTGCTGACCCATAACTCTGCTTTTTAAAAAAATATTAAATCTTTATTGTTGACAGTATTGCATAAGCACCCCCATTGATCCTTTCTATGCCCCTGTCCCCTGCCCCAGGCCTTCACCATCCTATTGTCTGTGCCCATGGGTTATGCATATATGCATGCAAGTTCTTTGGTTGATCTCTTCCCACACACCCCTGCCTTCCCTCTGAGATTCCACAGTCTGTTCCAGGCTTCTATGTCTCTGGATCTATTTTGTTCTGCTT